TGCTGGGTGTTTGGGGGCAGTTCAGGTGGCTGAATTGGAACAGGGAAGGATTGCAAATAAGAAACCTTAGCTGTGCCTTGGGCTCCCTCTGCGGAAGGTCAGTGGTTTGGGAAGCAGATAAAACGTGGACGGTGGGGCTCGTGTAGCTGTGCGCGTGAAAGAGAACTAGAGGAGAAATTAAAAAAAAAAAAAACGCTCTCTTGCCGGGCAGTGGTGGTACACGCCTTCAATCCCAGCACTTGGGAGACAGAGGCAGGTGGATCTCTGAATTTGAGGCCTGCCTGGTCTATGGAGCTAGTTCCGGGACAGCCAGGGCTATGCAGAGAAACCCTGTCTAGAAACCGCACCCCCCCTCCCCAACCAAACTGCTCTCTTTGCTTTGTTTTCTGTCTTCAAAAATGTAACAGGACCAACAGCTGGATGTTCTGTAAAGAAACCAGCCTTGAAAGTGATCAAATCACCAGCCCACTGACAAGTACCAAGCTGATAGCCTTCCATGTTCAATGACAGGAACAAGAAATGGAAACCAGTAGAGTCAATCAGAACTTCCGGAGATGTATGTACCACATTGGAGCAGAATAAACAAACTGGGTAGAAGAAGTTTTCCTTTTTTGTCAAGATAAACTTGAAATCCCAAGTCCTTTGTTATCAATACACCTGAGAAAATGCACTCTAATGAAGTAGGCTTTTGAGTGTTACGGTTCCCAACTTGAGGAAAACCCCCAACTCCATCATCCACATCTTCTAACACGTTGAGCTTTCCTGTGTCGAAGCGAGCAATAGATTATTCCTCTCTGCACTGTCCTGGTGTTTAGAATTAACAACTACCACCCCACACCTTCTGACATGCATCACCGACATGCAAACCCTTTCTAGATAATCCACAGCAATATTTTAAAGTTGGTTGTGTACAGATGCATGTCCCCAGATACATGATCAGACACACAAACATACTCTTTAAGGTCTTAACTTCATACTGACACCCCATTAAAGACCCTCAAACTCTGATTCCCCACCTGAGAAGTAGAAGTGGCTGTATAAACTGACCTTAGACCTTGGTAATTTGTCTTGGATTTCTTCTCCTTAAGGAAGACATGCACCTGAGGGTTAGTATCTTCTCTCTTTAAAGCTCCAAGAATCTCTTCTGCATGACTTTACCATGCTTCTCTGTAGCATGCCTGCCCTGCATGCCACTCCCTCTGCTCCAGGACTGATAGAAGAATCACCAAAGACAGTATTGTTGGGCACGATTATTGAAGTTCAGCGGCCAGACTTTTTCTTTTGGGAGAAAATTCTGTTGGGAGTTATTATAAAGAGCTACACTAGAAGATGTGTACAAACAAGCAGTTTGGCTTGGAGACTCGCCTCATGTAGGCAGGGGAGGGCACGAATCCTCATAGATCCTGTACCCAGAGCCCAGGTTATCTTTGCTTAATAGGCTCAGAGGGAGTCGAACTTAGAAAAAATGAACACAATTTCTTATTTGGATATTTCATCATGTCTATATTTTCTTCTTGATCTATTACATATTCAGAGATCCCATAGAGACTGGAAAACACATTTCCCTTTGTTCTTAAAGTTTCCATGTTAACTATTATTTATTTATATTTTTCCTGTGTGTGTCTGAGAGAGAGGCATGTGTTATGTTCCAACGTATATGCATGTGTGTTTTGGTGCATGTGCCCATGCTAATGGGTATGGAGGCCGGAGGTTGCAACTGGGTGCCTTCTCTTCCCTTGATTGCTCTCCACCTTACTTTTTGAGACAGTGTCCCTCACTTGATAGATTGCTCATGTCCAAGTTGAGACTCCCGAGGCTGACACGATCTTCAAGTCCAGGAACTAAACACTTCCCTGTGTGATGCAGACACTCTCCATCACCTCCACTCCTTTTCCTTTGTAAATATTCCTGATTAAAATGCTTTTAGAGTGCTTTCTTATTTTGCAAGGATTTATCACATTTTCTTTTAGAACTTGTGAGCTCTTTGGTATCAGGAGTGAAGATCAAAGAATACATAACTAATTAAGCCAAAGGACAACTGAATAGAGGTGGGCTAGGAGACCAGTTCATTAAAGTACGTCTCTAGTTGAGGGTTCTTTTGAGGAAGCCAGAAGAAACCTGAAGAGTATCTGGGCGACAGTCATTTTAGGAGATGGTTTTCTCCCTGACACACTGATGAGGAAGTGTGATAACGGAAAGCAGATGTCATAAACAGACTGTGGAACAGGAAATTTATGGGGATGTGAGAGCTTCATGGTGATGGTGCTGAGGTTTCCTGTGATAGTTGTCTCTTACACCAGAAGCAAGACGGATAAGATCTAGCTCAGCTCTAGGGATTGAGTAATTTCCAGGAAGTTAAATTCTTTCACTGTGTTGTAATTTCCCAGATCCATTGGGCTACATATTCCTTTCCAAGTGCATCTCTGGAAGACAAATAGTACAATGACTATATACCATTGTCTAAATTCTATTTCCTTTCAGTGGCATGTTGGCTTGGAATTAAGGAGGGAAAATGATTCTTCTCCTCTGCCTTCTCCTTCTCAGGGTTTCTTTTCTCAGTGTAGCCCTGGCTATCCTCAAATGTGCTGGCCTTGAATTTAGAGATCTGCCTTGCCTCTGTCTACCAAGCGCTGGGGTTAAAGGTGTGCACCACTATACCTGGCAAACATTCTTTTTGAAATGTGTGCTCTGTGATTGCATGCATTTTGGATGCAGCTTTTACCTGAAAGATTACCAGAATTTCGACTCAGTCATTAAGCAGGCAGATTCTGTCACTAATGCAATGCAACGTAAGAGACATGAACGCTTTACAAGAGGGGGTAGCCACACACCAGTTCAACTTCATATTAGCTTGGAGTCATAGATTAAAATTACAACAGAGGATCATTACACACACACACACACACACACACACACACACACACACACACACCCCAGAAAGACTAGAATGAAAAAGAGGAAAGGAAATGATGAAAAAATTTTAACAATAGCAAAGCAAATAAAAAATATCAAGAGAAGGTAGAGGTTTGGGATTGCTGGAACCCTTACACAATGTAAGTGGCGTGTGAGATTGGTATAGCCACTTTACTGCTTGATTATTTCATTTTCCTGTGGCATATCTTTCATCAGCTTCAGGGTATCTCTTTTAAAAGATATATTTATTTTACTTTTCGTGTGTACATAAAGATATAAATGTATATTTAATTCACTTTTCATTTGTTTACATATATGCACATGTATCACATGCATGTTCGGTGCCCATGGAGGTCAGAAGAAGACATCAAAACCCTTGGGTCTAGAATTGCTAATGCTTGTGAACCACCATGTGATTGCTGGGAACTGAACTTGCGTCTTTGGCAAGAGCAACGAGAATAGCTAATCACTCAGCTATCTCTGCAGCCCATTAGGATGTCTCTTTGAGCTTCATAAGTGGCAAGAAAGCATATTGCCGTGTTTTAATAATAGAGATCTGGGAATTTTCAGATGATACAGATTTTTGAATTCAGTATAATTTCCAACTCTTTCTATTCTGTGTTTTTCTTCAGTAAGGTGGAAGAATAATAAAGGAGAGCGACAGGTCAGTGTGTATGTGTGTGTCGGGAGGAAAGCTTGTTAGGTAGATAAATAGAGATGTTATAATTGTGACATTTGCTTATTTCTAAGGATTAATCATGTGGCAACCATTCTGCTTCATACATACAATCTCATTTGAACCTTCACTTTTCATTCTATGAGATGGGTATTATAATTTCTTTCATGTAGATATGCAGTGAATGGCCTTTGGAGAGAAGACATAGCTTGCTCAAGATCTCAGAACTGGGAGGTAGCAGATAAATGACTGGTGTCTATGGCAACGCTTCCAGCTGCCCGACTTTAGTACATTCTCAGACAGTAACACCAGTCTATATGGCCTTTCCTTAAATACCAACAGATTCGAAACCAGACAGTCATGGGTTTTATCTTCTCTTTCTCTCTCCTTCCTGACCTCCTTCTCTCTCCTATCTTTATTCCTTTCCACCCAGCAAGTAGCAGGGAATGTGAGTAGAGACATCAACCCGAGATTGACCTTGTGAGTCCACAACTGTAGAGTCACTTGGATGTTGGGGATGGGTTGGTTCCTGTATGGAGTTCTCAAGGGGCTGGTCCTGTTTAAACTTACCACAGGAATGTCAGCCTGGCAAGTCTTTTTCTGTATTAAAATAAACACCTTTAGGTCACGATGAAAACTCTTGTAAAGCTTCATTCATGACAGGAATCCAGGAGGGTCATCATTGGGATCTGGGATGTCCTCACAAGTCCAAGTCCACAAAGACTTTAACTAACCAGAAGCAAATTTCCCAACCTGTGTTAAGTCAGCCACACCCATAGATGTGAACCTCAGAGGCACTAAGCATGTAACCTTGGTCTGTGATTAAAAGCATATTCATCAGGGGATGGAGAGATGGCTCAGCGCTGAAGAACACTTGCTTGTTCTTGCAGGGAACCCTGGTTTGGTTTTTCATACTCACATAGCAGCTCATAACAATCTGTAAGTCTAGTTCTAGAGATCCGATACCCTCTTCTAGCCTCCACAGGCATTATACATGCACATGGTGCACATATATACATCCTGACAAACCATCCATATACATAATAATAAAACAAATAATTCGTAAAAAAAGAAGAAAATTGGCCAAGGCTGGTGTCTTATACCTTTAATCCCAGCACTTGGGAAGCAGAAACATGTGCATCTCTGTGAGTTCAAGGTCAGCCAGAGGTACAGGGATCTTGTCTCAAAACCAACCAGCTAAACAACAGACAAATTAATCAACCCAATTCTGTAAAAGTATTTACAGAATTTATTTTGTGTCATATAGAAATTTGGGTCATAAGTTACTATTAGTATAAGCAGAAAATCAAATGGGTTCCTAGAAAGTATAGTTGGTTAATTGACAGTTATTTGAGTATATAAAAATAATGAAGAAAGCTCTAGGTGACAAGAGTTTGGGTTTCTTTTTCTATTACTTTTCAAGAGGTATGAACTTTCTCTTTAGTCTCCTCATGGCTGACTTCATCTCCTGGTTCCGCAGAGTGTAGATCAAGGGGTTGAGCAGAGGGGAGATGACCGTGAAGGTGACAGAGATGGCTTTGTCTGTGGGGAGGGCAGTGAATGGCCGGGCATAGACATAGATGCAGGGCACAAAGTGCAGCGTGACCACAGTGATGTGGGAGGTGCAGGTGGAGATGGCTTTCCTCCTGTCTTCCCCTGCCTGAGACCTCAACATTGTCAGAATGACCATGTAGGACACCAGCAGGAAGACAAACCACAGGGTAGTGACCAGGCCATTGTTGGAGATCATCAGGAGCTCAAGGACAAAAGTGTCAGTGCAGGCGAGTTTGAGAACCTGTGGGACATCGCAGTAGAAAGTATCAAGAACATTGGGTCCACAGAAGGGGAGTGGGAGCAAGAGAGAAATCTGCACAATGGAGTGGACAAAGCCCCCCACCCAGGAGGCCATGATGAGAGCTGTGCAGCGTCTACTGCTCATGATGGTCACATAGTGCAGGGGCTTGGAGATGGCCATGTAACGGTCAAATGCCATCACAGACAGAGAGAAAATGTCTGCCCCACCAAGCAGGTGGAAGAAAAACATCTGTGTCATGCACTTTGCATAGGAAATGGTCTTTCTCTTTGAGAGAAGGTCCACCAAGACCTTAGGAGCTGTGATGGAGGAGAAGCAGATGTCCAGGACGGCAAGGTTGCGGAGCAGGAAGTACATGGGCGTGTGGAGACGGGGCTCAAAGGTCACAGTGATCATGATGAGGATGTTCCCCAGCAGCGTTGTCATGTACACAAAACACAAAACAAGGAATAAGACCAGGCTCAGGTGTGGGGACTGAGTAAGACCCAGAAATATAAATTCCTTTACTCTGGTGTCATTTCTCAACTCCATTGAATCACGATTTTCCTTTTTTGTACATCTTGGAAGAAATGAGAATATTATTTTAGCAAGTGTTACCTTTTCCATACTAAATTAGATTCTTAGAGGCAAATATCAGAATCAAAAGATCACAAGGTGTTGTCCCATGAATTGCCACTTCAGGGTTATTGTAATTTTCACTTTACTATGTCTTGAATGAATGATATTTTATTACCCAAGCATGCATTTAATTATTTTCATCTGTAAATCACAAATGATCTTAGAATGTGTATGAAAACAAGGTTCTCATTAAATAAGCAGTAAGTATTCAAGGCAAATAGAGGTGGATGATGAGCAATCAGATATAGATTATTGGTAGTATAAGTGATACAGAGTAAATTTGTGTGTGTGTAATAAAGCAGTGACTGTTTTGTACAATTAGAACATCTTACATTTCATAAGGATTTTTCTAGATTGGATATTACAATTAAATAAAAGCTCTAAGGATCTCTATTTGCCAAACAATACCCCTTGAGTTGAATTAGTCACAAATTTCATTCTATAACAAATTAGAGAAACATTAAGGTCATCATTCTCTTCTATTGCCTCTTCCTTAGAAACAACTCATTTACATCCCTACTTTCAATTAGCTTAGATGGAAGAGTAGCTCCTCAACTATTATGGAATGACAATGTTATTCTGAGTTCTCTTTTATTCATTATTTTAGCTTCTTCCTTATAATCAGTTCTTTTCTTGATCTGTCATTGCTGCATAGTGTTGCACGTATTTGAGATGTATCTCTTGTTAAGCTTTGATCTATGTGTATTGCTATGTCATGATCACAAGAGTTAAGACAGTGAACATACCTAGCATGCCAAAAGAGATTTTGGTCATCTTCCTATAGCTAGTCACTGTCTCGTATGTTGTATAGCCAAGCACTGGGCTCTGTTGTTATACAATAGTTTGTATTGTCTAGAATTTTCTGTAAACTGAATACATTATTTGTTCCCAATTTCTTCTGGCTTCTTTCACTCATAAAACTCACCCATAATTTGTATATGCTGCTGTTTTTTTTCTTTCATTTTTACCATGCAGAGACAACACAGTGTATTTAAAGATTTACTTGATGAACATTTCTGGCTAGTTTTTATTGCCTGTTATACATCAGCTGCTATGGGCTGTGTAGCCTTAGGCAAATATACTTCCAGTTGTCTTAGGGAAGTAACTAGAAATAGAATGGCTGTAATTCTTAAAGTCCATGATTAGGAAATCAACCAACCCGATTTAAAAAGTAGGACAAATGCGGAGAGAGTGGCGGTGCACGCCTTTAATCCTAGCACTTGGAAAGAAGTGGCAGAGGCAGGCGTATCCCAGTGAGTGAGACATAGGATGTTACAAGCTTCTTGGGGCTACACTGTCAGAACCTGTTTTAAGAAAAGAGTGAGTTAAAACTACAATGTGAATGAAGTCATGGTGCAAATAAAAACAGCCCACATCCACAAGAGCAGCTAAGATGGAGACAGACAGCTCACATCCGCGAGAGTAGCTAAGGTGGACAGACAGCTCACATCCGTGAGAGCAGCTAAGATGGAGACAGACAGCTCACATCTGTGAGAGTAGCTAAGATGGAGACAGACAGCTCACATCCGTGAGAGCAGCTAAGGTGGACAGACAGCTCACATCTGTGAGAGTAGCTAAGATGGAGACAGACAGCTCACATCTGTGAGAGTAGCTAAGATGGAGACAGACAGCTCACATCTACGAGAGTAGCTAAGATGGAGACAGACAGCTCACATCCGTGAGAGCAGCTAAGGTGGACAGACAGCTCACATCTGTGAGAGTAGCTAAGATGGAGACAGACAGCTCACATCCGTGAGAGCAGCTAAGGTGGAGAGACTGACATGTTAAGAGGGACTGTAACAATGGTGGGGATGTGAAGTGGTCAAACTTCTTTTGAAAACAGTTGAGTAGTTTCTTGAAATATAAAATATATGCTCACCTTATAGTTGTGTTGTTTTTTTTTAAAGTTCCTTCCTTTTTCATTTGAAGAAATCTTGAAATGGTCCTTAATTTTTTTCTTCTGAACTTATCTCCATTTTCTCTTATTAGAAAGAAAGAGAGAAAAGAAGGAAGGAAGGAAGGAAGGAAGGAAAGAAAGAAGGGAGAAAGGCAAAGGTCACTATTTCCTTCCATTTTGGAAGTTTTTTTCATTTTGGAGTATATGTTTTTTTCAGTTCCAATGAAGATTTTTGTCTCCATATAACTCACTTTTCCTTCAAGTTTTTTTTTCTTTATGCAATATTCTCTAGAGACAATTTAATTTGGAAGACCGAAAGCAAACTACCCAAGGTGTCCTAACCGAGAGGTCGTGCATTCCCACACCACCCTGACTGGCCACAGTGGGGACACTTGCTGTCAGAACACAGCCAAGTTACTTTACTCATTGGCCTCAGTCTCTGCATTGTGACTTGCCAACAATGATACCCTCTTTGTATCATTTTCATGAGGATAAAATGAATTAATTCACCTAAGACATCAGTATTTAAAACATACCTATAAATAGGAAATGTGACTATGTGTGTGTTAAAGAAAAACTGTGTTAACCACTCACCCGTGAACAACTTCTTCAAACACACCAACATCTTAGAGGAACTGTGTATTTCTCAGAATATATACCCTAAAACAACTTTATCAGAGCACACACTCCTAGGGAAGTTAAGACATACACTTCTTTCAGAGGCAGTGACTATTGAAGGATGGGTGGCATTGCACGGGAAAAGAACACATGCTCAGTTTGGCTTCTTGTCTTCTACACAGACTGGGAGTGGTTTATCAGGGCATCTGGAGCAAGAGCCGCTAAGGTGTAAGACCTGGTTTTGTCTGTGAAAGACAGGCAAGTGTGTGGCCTCACGGAGTCTCCACTTCTGTGGAACGCAGATGGTGAAGGGGAGTTGTGGGGATTGGAGCAATATGTAAAGGTCTTCATGTACAGGCTGGTTATCTAGTGTAAGCTATGTCAGTTAACTTAGATCAGCTAAGTGGTAACTGACTATAAATGCTTGGCTTCTGAGAGATGGTCACTAGAAAATACCAACTCGGAATAGTTAACAGAGATGTTAAGGCGATCGATTTAGTCATCAAAAGCTTCCATTCTGGCCCCCATCTACACAGCACACCACGGTCTGTGGGAAGCAAGAAGGCAGAACATAACTCAGATTAAGGAGGTACATTTTATGTTCAGAAAGCCTCACCTGCTTCTGCTACACCCTGTGATTTTTAATCCGCTTAATAATTTGGCATATACTGAAGGAGCCTTGGAAGAGTTCTAGGCTATTTGAGAAAAGGAATAGAATCTAAACACAGTGGGAAAATAATTAAGACCTAACAGTTATTTGGGAGTGAAGGTGGCCACCTTAAAACAGATGAGACACTGTGTGTGGGAAAAGGAGGGCTTTTCACTAGTGGGCTCAGAAAAGCTGCACAGAGGGGTGATGACTATAGTGGGGTCCATGGGAACGGGGAAAAGGTGGGCAAGAGGAAAATTTGGGTATTGAAAGCCGCTTGGGGACTGGAGTTTTGTCTGGAAAGAAATGGCTTGAATACAAAGGTATTGGATGATAAATATAGAAATCACTGTTATAACAACTTTTCTTTTTGCATTTTTTTTTTTTTGAGAAAGGGTTTCTCTGTGGCTTTGGAGTCTGTCTTGGAACTAGCTCTTGTAGACCAGGCTGGTCTCGAACTCACCGAGATCCGCCTGCCTCTGCCTCCCGAGTGCTGGGATTAAAGGCGTGCGCCACCACCGCCCGGCTTCTTTGTGCAAATTTTGAGAAAGGGTAGTAGGTGTTACTTTTATTATTCTTTTAAAATGTATTTCTTTTTAATTATTTATTTACTTATTGTTGTTGTTGTGTGTGTGTGTGAGTAGGTGGAGGTGAGGGGACAACTTTGTAGAGATGGTTCTTTCCCTCCACTTTTATGCAGGCTCTGGGGATTGAATTTAAAGTCATCCGTCTTGCACAGCAAGCATCTTTACTTGATGAGTCATCTTTCTGGATCCTTGGATTAGTCTTTCAAGTTGTTTGAAGGTTTGAAATAAATGATTTTTATTTTTTTAGGTTAAAATTTAGTATAAAAATTACTTCTGGAGCTTTCAGTCAGAGGAGATCCACCTACAGAGACAAAAAATGCCTGAGGAGGGAAAACATCTTAATACAGTTTGAGAAGTTTCTTGTAACAAAGAATACCTTTTCCCATGTTTGGAACTGATCTCCTCTCCGTGTGTCTCACGTCACAGTCTATAAATGTTTCTAATCTGTGTTATTTGCTAGTGCATGTTCCCTGAAATGTAGGATCTTTTTCACACACATTGACTGGATGATTGATTACACTCAGATTTCAGCGTGTCTCACTGTTCCCTTCTCACCCTTGTTTGTACACACAGGACACCACAGGCTCACAGATTCCATTGCTTACCTAAGATCTTCGACCTTTTTTCAAGAACTCCAGTACTTTAGCAAGCCCACATAAACCTTGCAGACTGTTTGGCTCAGAACGCCCGGAAGGCCACTGAGTTCAGTAGCCTCTCCTTTTATTGATGTGACAAAGAGCAGACTCCAAGAATGACATTTTCTTGGCTCTTTCTCACTAATTTACTGTGTTCCATCGTATTTGCTGACTTCTAAATCCCAGAACAGAAGTGAGGGTTATCAGAGGGATTATAGTGGATGTGACCTTGGAAAACTCCTGCTGATGGTGAGGTTGTTTCAGTGGGAGCAATTAAGATGCTACTCTGCAATGGATGCTTTGGCGTCTAAAAGTGTGAGTTCCCTGTCCTAACTCAGATAGAAAAGGGGTTTAATTAGGCACACAAAGTTTGGGAGAAGGCCTTTTAAACTTCATATTTCAGCAGCTTTTGTTCACAAGGCATCCATGTTGGGAAGAGGTTGAAGCAGGCTGAAGTAGTATGGGGACTTGTAGCAAGCTTTCTTGTTGGATTACCTTTGGACCATCAACCCACAAATAATGACCCA